ATACTGATAAGTGATTAATAAAAGTCAAAAGACCAAAGAGGTCACCTTAATACCAAAAAAAAATAAATAAATAAATAATACATTATATACAGAAATTAGAATATCTTAATTAAATAATAACTATATAGTTACTATTGTAACTATATATAGTTACTACATAGTTAATAATATATTAAAATATTCATTTAATTTTTGTATATTAATTATCTGAGTTAATATTCAAACTTCAGTTTTCAAAGTTTGCTAAAGATTTATATAATCATTTTCTGAATATGAATGTTTAAATACTAACTGCATTGATTTAGAAACTAAAACCTAACCTTTAATTAATGACTTAGTAACTAAATCAATATGATTAGCATTAATTCTTCATTGAATTTTTACTAATTTATTATGCTTTAAATAGCAAGGTTTTAAAAATCAGATAAGAATAAATGGTATGACTATTGCTAATCAAAGGTAGTCAGATATTATAAAACTTTTATGATGACTAATTGGATTAGGCAGCTTTCTCCAATATATTAGATATTCAAAATTTTTTCAATATTTAAGGAATGTTGTTTGACCTTCTGATGAAAACAAATCAACTGTTAAATTCAAAAGTCTCATTACTTTGCTAGCAGTTGTATGATAAATATTTTGGAGTGTTTGAAGATGCTGATCCTATATTAATTGGCTTAGTACTGGAACTTTGTTATATAATCCATAATTAGTTAAAATTATTTTACATTCTCTTGCAATGCGAGCAGATAAAACTTTATTAAATTGTTCATTTGTAATATGGCAATATCTTAAAAGTTGTGCAATATCTAAATCATTATTTGTTAATTGTTTTTTAGAAGCTTGGCAAGTTTTACAACCTTTGTTAGCACCATGCTGTTTTATATCTGCAAGATTATTTTCTTGTAGAAGATTAGCTGTAACCACCCCAAGACCAGCAATCATCCAATAGTCTTGATCCTGAATATTTATAATTTGGCTATGCTTTAATGATTTCATTTCTGCAATAAATGGTTTAATAAATTTATCAAAAGCTCTACCAAAAGGCACAAACCCTAAAATGAAATGATTTTTTAATAGTTTTCTTATAAACATTGGCATATTTCCAAATTGTAAATAAATTCTACTAAGAAAATGATACACATTTCGATATATTCCAAAATTATCATAATAAAGATTTAGAAATAATTTAATAACTGGCATATCTTTATTTGGTGGTAGTAATATCTTTGTATATTCAAATGAATGTTGATACTCTAATAAGATGCTTCGAATTTTCCAATATTTATTTAATTTATAAACTATCTTACTTATATTATGAGTAAACTCAGATTCTCTATATGATATAGTAACACTAGCATGATTAATGACATCTTGCAATTCAACTAATTTTATACTATTAAGCTCAAATGAATTATTAATTAACCATACTTCACTAAGCTAGAAGTAAAGTTTTCTGTCATTGTCATAAAAATTCTTTGAAAGTTCATAATATTCTATTATCTTTTGAACTTTTAATTTTAAAGTATTATCTAAGATAATAATAGCTCAAATTCATTCCAACTTTTTGACATTGTCCCAATAATAAATAAAATCACCAGCATAATATGTACCCAGATTTTTTTAAAAAAAATAATTAATTTGTTAACTATTCTATACAAAGCTTAATACTTAAAAAAAAAAAAAAAAAGTCAATTAGTTAAATAGAACATTTGACTAACATTCAACCTAATATTTGATATATTCTATTCAATCGATATAGCAAATATTATTTTGAATAACTGCCATTTGGCATGTCTAATTTTGTTATTTTTTTCTAATAAAAAAAAAATTTATATTTGTTAATTTTAATTGAATCTTGGCCATATAGTAAAGATTCAGCCTATAAATTACTATGCCAATATTCTGATTTATTGATAACTTCTTGATCAGGTCCAAAGTACATATGTTTTATTAAAGTTGGATTATTTAGCATATGCCAAATAATATCATTAATAGATAAGTAATAAGCATCTTTAGTATTTTTAGAATTTGATGAAGTTTTTTTAGCTAAAATATTAATAGTTCTTGAATATATTGGTATAAGAGGAAGATTATGTTTCCAAGATCTAAAATGCCAAATATTCTTTACCACATGATGCAGATTAAAGCGAGAATGATGCATTATATTAACAAAATCATTGTAGGCATTGGTAGCTAAATTAGCATTTTGTTAGTAATTTGAATTCTAAATTTAAATTAATAAAGCAAATTAAATCTTACAAATACTATGTTTTTGTATTTAACAAAATAACAATATGGCAGTCAAATTTTCAAAATATGGTGAAAATTCATTTGTATTTTGTGATAATCTTTCAAAATCCAAGGTCTTGTCAACAATATTTTCAAAGAATTTATTATTTAATAAATTATCTGATTCTTCTGATTTATTTGAGTTATCTGATTCCAATTTATCTATATCTTCTGATTCATCTGATTCATCTAATTTATCCGAATTTTTTTCTGAATGACTATCTAATAAATTATTTGAATGCTCTAAGAATATTGTTAACAAGTGTTCTGAATATAAGTCATTATTAATAAATTCTTCAAGAAAATTGTTATTGTTCTCTTGATTGTAATCAAATTCTTCTAGAAAATCTAAATTAATATTTTTTAAATTATTTGATTCTTTAGAAGAATCTATACCAACATTTTCCAAATCTTTACTAATATCTCTCTTTAAAATATATAAATTTGTATTAAATTTTCCTGATATTGCGAAGAAGAAACATGAGAAAACTTTTGTCTACTATAAGAAATCAGCTTTTTGTAATCTTTTTGTCCAATTTTATTTCTCATCATATTGGCAAATAGAAAAAAAGTTAAGATAATAGTTAATAAAAACAATTCACTATTATTTATTATAACATAAAAATTTAATATTTATAAATATATAATATAACCTAATTTAAAAGTAGACTTTTAATACTATACATTTGTAAATTAAAATTTATATCATAAAAAAATTAGATTTACATAAAATTGTACTATATAGTTTATATTATTTAAACTATCATATAAATAAAAGATAAAATTTATTAATTATTAGTATCATAAAAAAATCAAATTTGCATAAAATCATACTATATAGTTTATATTATTTAAACTATTATATAAAACAAAAAGTTAAAATTTATTAATTATTAGTATCATAAAATAATCAGATTTATATAAAATCATACTATATAGTTTATATTATTTAAACTATTATGCAGAGTGTAGCAACTTAGTGAAGTAGATAAGTTGTTAACCCTTCAAGTAGTAGATTATGAGTTCAAAACTCATGAACAGTGAAAATTTGGATAATCACCTATATAATATTTGTATTATGACAACTGTTCCTAATGATTGAGTTAAGATACCTGTAATTATAGTTGCACTAGCATGACTGGCAGGTCATGAGGCATCTGTATAACTGGTTACCAGAGAAATGCAAACTAGCATCAGACAGTGCAAACTCAAAATAAGTCCTTGTGATCATGTAAATCTGTAAAAATTGGAGAACAAGAAGCCTATTTGGGAAGACCCAAGTAGAGAGGTAACACGGATCTTTGACAGTACTACTGTAAAGGCTAGACCTAGGAAACAGATACCAATGTGGAGTATCCGGACAGGCAAAAACCTCTGAGTATGAGGTACTACCAATCAGGCTACTAGAAGTCCAACTGAAAGGACCAGAGAAAAAGGATATCAGGCTGACCTGATATACTAATGGGCTGGTCATAGTTCTACTAGACTAACTGGATTGGAAGTTTGGAGAAAAAGCAGAGGTATACTAAAAGTACTAGGGATATGTTGTGAAGTAAGTGCTGAGGTTTGGGTGAACTCTGCAAGGACAAGCTCTGTTAATGTTCTGTAGAGTAGATAGATAGTTAACAGAAAGGCCTCTAGAACCTTATAGTCAGGTGTTATGCTCTGAAAATAATTGTGTAATGACTTGACAGATGTACAAAAGGGAGGCTAAATGTTGGGTTAGATGGCACTTAGATGTACAGAAACCAGGATGCTAATTGTCTGAGTGCAATATAGGAATCAGAATGTTTAATTAGATAGTCCACTAGTAGATTATAAGTATAGCAGCTAGTGTAAAACCCTTGGGCAGACTACTTAAATAGGTAACCAAAAGTTACATATGTGGCTATTTGTATGCTTTTCCTGTACAAGTAATATATAATGTATTCACTAAAAATACAATAAAGGCATTAGCCACCATTAACATCAGCCTTAAAACAAAACAAAAAAAAAAAAAAAACTATTATGTAAACAAAAAGTTAAATTTATTATCATACAGCACTGCATACAGTATTCAGTATAACATAATTTTTAACATAGTAAAAAAAAATAAAAATCACATATGTTTAATGTTGCTTTACATTATTTGTCAAGCATAGTACTGTATATAGCACTGAATAATAATTATTATTATAACATAATCAGATTTATATAAATCATATTATATGTTTATATTAATTAATATTGTAAACAAAAAGTTAAAATTTATTAATTATTATTAGCATTAATATATATTAATTAAAATTATTTAAACTATTGTATAAAAAAATTTTTTTAATTAAGAATAAAAATATATATATAATTCGAATTTTTAATGTTTATATATTTCAAGTTTTCTTAATACATTATTTTAAAATGCCAAATAATTCATTAAAACTGAAGTAAGGCCATTCTGCCAAGTTTTCTTCAACTACTAATAATACTAAATCCTTCTTCTTAACCACCAATAATGCTTCTAAACCATCCTTTTCAACCACTAACAATACTTTTAAATCATCTTTGGCAAATGATTTCTTTTCAAAAAAAAATAAAAAATATCCAATTCAAATGCATAATGAAGAAGATAATGAAATAATTGAATCTTCAACTAGAAGAATAGAAATTTCATCAAAAAAAGGAAACAGGCTTATTCAAACAAACAATAATGAAGATGATATAATTAAAATTTCAACTACAAGGCAAGAAAATTCATCAGCAAAGGGAAAAAAAGATATAAAATTCATGAAATTAATAATTTTGTATTAGAAAATTATAAAATTATTTTTGTATAACTATATTTTACTATTGTTATTATTTTGTATAAATCTTTTATATTAGATCCTTTGTCAAATGATTATATAAGAGAAATATCACCAAAAGATGTATTTGAAGATGAAGATATCTTGATGATGTTACAAGATCAAGATATACAAAACAATGATGATAAATTATTAATTTGTTAGTAATTTTATTAGTATTATTTTTTATTATTATATTACTATAAATTAAACTAAAAAACATTTTTATTTAATAGCTTCTTTACCAGAAGATAATTATGGATTTTCTAAAGATTTTTTATTAGGTATTTATCTATTAGTAATTAAGTAATTTTTAATAATTAATTTTAAATTTAATAATTATTTTTTAAAGATAATCAAGAAGTTGAACAAATTCTATCACAAAAAATTAACCAAATTCCAGCAATATTTAATAATATGGATGACATCTTGGAAGTGTGCAATTGGCTAATTAAGTATCTGCATGTATTAAAATTAGCTAGCCAAATGTATATAGCATCTTCGATATTAATTATATATGCAAGTAAATTTGGAGAATCTTCAAATTCTTTGAACATAAATTCTATAAATTCTGTTGATAATAAGGTATATTACTGTACTTATAATTATCATAATTTATAAAACACAATTATATATATATATTTATATAGAATAATATGCATTTATGGAATGAAGAAATCAAATGTTTTTTTTTCGAATAAAAAATCTGTCATTATTATGCATTGATGAATTTGTCAAAAAGATCTTTGGATACTTTCTATATTCTAATGAAGGAAAGAATGTTCAATCTAAAACAAGAAAAGCTCTAAATGATTTCTGTTATAAACTAAATCAATCAGTACTAGTACTTGTTAGTAACCTTAAAAATATGCAAGAAAGGTATAAAAAAAATATGATTTAATAGTAACCTTAAATTTATATTAACATACTTAACTTATAGGAAAGGTAAAACAACATTTTATTAACAAATAAAGATCTAAAAAATTATATTAATGAAAAAGCAATTAATGATCTCCTAAAATGATACATTTTAGAAACAAACTATGCTGAACTTCAAAAGTGTAGATCGCTAGAGAAATTGATAACTTTTGTTTATGAAATGTTTCATATTTACTAGAGAGAAAAAAATATTGCTCAAGTTAAAAACTTGGATAATATTACAAAAAATATGCATGTATCTTCAAGAAGCAGCCTAAATATTGCAAGCAAACTTACTATTAATTAATAAACTAATCTATTTGCAATACTTGCTTAATTGATGTAATAATAGTTTTATATTTATCTTATAGCAAATTTAAAATTTATTATAAATCTAATATTATTAATGTTAAGGTAAATTAATCATTAAATAAAAATTAGTGTTAGCATTAAAACATTGGTAATTTTAAATGCTTCACTATATTGAAATCAAAATTTTAATTATAAATAATAACATGATAGTTTGGTTAAGATTCTATTACAATTTTTAGTCAATATGTTATCTATTATTTCTCAATTTACACTAATTATTAATTGAAACTCATCATTTTTCAATTTCCATAATTAAAAAAATTCTTATAACATTATGTAGTTTTATGTATTTATTTTCTTTCTATTAATGAATTCACAAATTTATTCTTCAGACCTATAAGAACTTTAACTAAATATTAAAAATATATCCAAATCAAAGAAAAACAAATGATGTTTGATGAATAGAAAACACTACAATAAATTTCTTAATATATTAAAAAGCTCATTAAGCAAAAGATTACATATTCAATTTATACTATACTGGGGTCAAATTTATACTGTTCAACTTCCAAATTGTACAATTCACATTATGCAAAAATACCTAACTCAAGAATATCCAACACAAGAAAGCTAACTTAAAAATACCACTAAATCTTGCTCTTGTGAAAAAAAAAAGTCATTATACTCAAGTTTCATTAATAAATTATATATATCTTGCATAAATTTAAATATTTTTAATTAAATATAATATGTATAATAGCTGTGAAATTGCAAGTTAAGAAACAACAAACTGATCAAAAAATTGTTGCAATTAAAAACCAAATCAAAATCCAAAGATTAGACTAATCATTAACCAAAGAGAAACCAAAAGAACTACCAAAACTTTCTGAAAATACTATTCCAACCAAACTAGCAGAAAAAAACCTTTTTAAAACAAGAAAAAGATTGCAAAAATGCCAAGCCAGATACCAACTAATAAAATATTTCTGGCATTTTTTTTTAAAGCTACAATATAAATTAGAATCTAAACAAACTATTAGATATATGAATCCATTTACCTATCTTAACAAATACTTCCACCAGTCTATAAGTATTAAGAGTTATTAAAACCTAAAGTCATATTAGAAAACTGATAATTTGCAAATATTAATATTAACGAAGATAGATTCTTTGAAGCGAGTTCACGAGTTTTCAAGAAAAATCAACAATGCGATACTTTTAACTAGAACTTATCTAGTTAAGAGAATTAAAGTCATTTTTAAAAAGATGAAAAGTTGCATTTTCAACAAAAAAGGCCAAAATAGAAACATACAATATTTAAGTTAAAACTTATTCACTTAATTTTGTCAAAAAACATCAAAAAAAAGAAGCTAATTTAACATTAAAAAAAATTGTTTTTAGAATGTTGAAGAAGTCTGTAATATTGTATAGATATTGTAAAGCATACAAAATATTGGTTTATTGAATTGAAACAAGTTGTATTCAAAGTCAGTAATATAGATATGTACCTTTTTTTGACTATATTAATCAAAGTTGCTTAATTTTTTAAATAATCATTTAGACTACTATCTGGCCTATTATCTGAACCCTACCTGGTATACATTTTCTAGGTGCAATTGAAAAAATGACTTGAATTAATTAATAATAACAGAATTTAAAAATGCCATATAACAAATATTCCTTTATTGCAAAGTAATAATGACCAAAAGTTGCAATAGAAAACATCAAAAAACAATTAAAAATTAAACAAAAAAAGCAGAAAAAAAGAAAACCTATTTAAACTTAATATTAACATCCTTTTGAACAGTAAAATTGTACCAACTTAAATTGATAAATATTGCAATGTTCCAACCACTAATAGTTAAAACATTCAAATTAACTGTGTATAGGTCATTATTTAAATTAAAAAACACCACTTGAGCATTTTTTGGATTATAAAAACTTAACACCCATACACCAACACATACTATATCTAAAAGTAATTTTTCAAAATTATTTGAGTCATTAGAGTCCTTATGAATTGCAAGAATATTAATATTAATGAGAAACTGTTTCATATTTTTTGAACATTATGTACAGTTATTTTAGCAAAAAGTTTATTAATATCATCACTAGATAATAAAAAAATACTGAATTTAGTATAAAAAAATATTAACAACAATAATTAATGACTACTTTACCTTTTCACTCTTCTTTGCAATTCTTTGAATAAATGATTAATTCTACTCCAAAGGATATACTGCCACTCAATAAAGGTGGAACAAAATTTTGATGCCACATCATTAAAATTTCATTCTTCTATTTCCAGAACCAAAATTTTTAGGAATTTTTTAATTATTCTATTTGCTTTGGCATCATTAAGATTCCTATAATAGATGAACAATGCATGCATTTCTTTTCTAAAAAGTTTATTAATCTATTTTGAAAACTCCTGAATAATGATAATATAAAATACTACTATATTTAGTAATAATTTATTATTTAAAATAGCATTAACTATAAATAGTTTTACATGATTTTAGAAATTTTGCATTGTTTAAAGAATGAAAAATTCCTAAAATTACATAAGTCTGGACACTAGCAATAAAATTAATTGAACTATAACTATTACATTATAGGCTGAATAATGATCATAGAGTTGCAGAGATGTCATAATTCTTCTAAACTTAGAAACAAATGTTCTAGGTACATTGTGAGCATAATATGAAAAAATAAAAAATTCTCATTATCAAAATAAGTCAGTGAGAGGTTTAATCTATTCTTGAGCATTTCTATCTCATAGTTATCTCTAGGCTCAAGAGGATGTAGTGGCAAATTTGACCAATCGATGATATCATCAAAGTAAAAGTTTTCTAGTATAGTTGAAGTTGAAGATTGTAATTGTGATCATAATCGTCTTAAAGAATTTGGAAAAAAGAACATTTATCATAGCATCTATGCCATCATTAACTAGATCATTTGTTAGTAAACCAAATTTATTTCATAGAGCTGCAAAAGTTGTAGAGCGATTGTTGCAAATGTGATGTTTCAAATAATTTAATACTGTATTAAGTTTTAAAAAAAATATTAATTAACCTAAATCTATATTCATGCTTTTAGTAACTACATAGTAACTACATCATAACGATATCATTATGATATAGTAGCTATATAGTTACTAAAAGCTTTATTCTGTTATATTTAAATTTTTATAAATAATACTAGGAATAATTATTGAACTTTGTTGAATGCTATACACTACAGGTTGAAATGTCTGCACAGATTGAGATGTCTGTACAGGTTGAGACATCTGTTGATATGAAGATACTGGTCAGGATCGGGATTGGGATTGATGGAATTATTAGGTTCAAGTTAGAGATCAGGATCATCAAGCATCAGGTTGAGGATTGTTAAATAAGTGGTGCTGTAGATAGGATGATGATTCACTTTCAGAAATAATTTTTAATTTTTTAGAAATCATTTTTGAAAAAAAAGAAATCATAAAATCTTTTTTTTATAAAAATAAATTTCAAAAATTTCATCATATAAAAATTAAAATTTTATTATAAGTTTGTTATGATTTTGTCACGATTGTATCAAGATTTTATTATACTCAAAAATTTATTATGCAATATTTATAATTTTATATTATACACAAAATTTTATCATTAAAAGAAGTCTATAATATTCATAACTAGAGGTGTGCACTAGTAATACAAATCAGAATTGAAATAAATTGATTAGTTGGTTAGTTAACAACTAATTAACTACTTTTAGACATCAACTAATCGATTAGTTAGTACTCTAGGTACTATTCAAGAAAGCTATTCTAGATTGAATAATACCTTCAGACATTAAAAAATCAAAGGATAATACAATAGGACTGACTGTGACATAGGTACAGGAGAGATATTATCATAAGAATTACCTAACCCATGATCATGATGGTTATGAGGTTATTGATTTAGTGAGTTAAATAGAAATTGCATGAATTATAGGTCATTGTTTAGTGAGTTAAACGGAAATTGCATGAATCATTAGATCATTAATCTAGAGAGTCAATTGAATTATTAGATCATTGATCTAGTGAGTCTAAATAGTTTGAACAGCTGTGAACACCCTATACTGTTGTGATTAAGTTAGTAAGAACAGTTGTATACACCTCATACTGTTCTTAAATAGCTGATGACTGGGTTCAATCAATACTGTATTAATCTAACAAGAAAGAGATTAGAGATAAATTAGAAATGTGTTAAAGTAACTACTTTATTAGCAGCTAAGGAGTGACACTATTCCTATAGTTTTTTACATATTTATTTTCATATTAATTGAATTGAGAAATTTAATATTGAATATGATATAGTTTGCAATGATAATCCAAATGAAAATAATTAATCATTATTTACAATATTACTATTAAATATATCAAACATAGTAAAAAGATTGCACTATTAATTATAAAAGTTAGATCACAAACTGCTTTTCAAAAAAATGTGAATACTAATCCAGAGGAGTACTATATAGAGCTTTCTAAAACATTACCCTAAAATAGTAAATTAATCTCATCTAAAAAAACTACTTCTTTAACTCTAAAAAAAGCCATGATGCTATACAGTAACTGGATAAATTCTAGTTAGTTGTTGATTTTTTCTTGAAACTCAGAAACTTACTATCTTCTTGAATATTAATGTTTGCAAATTATCACATATTTCAAAATAAATTTAGGTTTTAATACTTATGAGTTGGTCATTAGAACAGGGTAAATTGTTTAGGTTCTAATTTATATTGTGCTTTATTTTGTAAAATAGTGAACAATTTATAATAATAAAATATATGCCTGTAATGAACTTTGTATTTTTTTTTTTTTTTACAAAAAGAAAGCTCAGAAAATATTGAAATTTTAATACAGTATTATCTTGAAATAATGGCCAGAGTGTAGGTTGAAAGTTTAATCAGAATTAAGCTTAATTTAAGCTAAATTAAGATTAATTCAGGTCAAACTCCTAACCTACATCTTGGGCATTATTTTGGTTTAGTATTTGCATAAATTAAAGATAAAATAAATATATAATTTCTTTAGCTTAATAGTTCCATTATACTATCATTCTGATCTTTGCTATCATTATACTTTACAAATAATTAGATTTGATTTTTGTTTGATTTTGTCTTAATGTTAAATAAATCTGTTTCTTGAATACATAACTGGATAAAGGTATATTGATAGTTTGCACTAGATTATTATATTTTTATTATTATTTAATTTTTATTTTTTTTTACATTATCATTATAGATAATTGATATCTATGGTAAACAGGTTTAATATTAGCATTAAAAAATAATCAGATTTGGCAAAAAGATAAATTATTAGATTTATATAATGACCTGATAGACCAATATTTTATCAGGACTAAGAATTATTTTTGCAAGAACTAGTCACAAAACTGCAAAGCTTTATTTTCCAAATTAAGGCATATTCTCATGATTTTGCTATAATATATATATATATATATATATTTATTATTATTTTTTTTTTTTAAGTTGACACAAAGTTATTACAATTTGACATTTGAATTGTCATCAAATCTAATAATAATTGTAATAGAATTGCTATGATATTATAGTTCAAAGTTGTAACAATTTGATAATTAAATCATCACAAAATCAAATAACTATTGTAATAAAACTACTATAATATTGTAGTAAGAAATCATGATAATTTGATATTTAAATTATTACCAAATCAAATAATAATTATAATAAAATTGCTATAATATTACAGTAAGAAACTATGGCAATTTAACAATTAAATTATTACTAGACCTAATAAAAATTATAATAAGATCATTATAATATTACAGTAATTTAATTATTAAAATCATTACAAAATCTGAACAAAATCATTACTAGATTTTTATATTATAGTTACAATGTGATAGTTATAATTTAAAAATATCACAGCTGCATTAATTTTTTTCTGAATTGTATTTATATTGTGATGGCATTATTACTATATTATAACAACATCATTAAAAATTTGCAGGTTCTATAAAGTTCTTTTAATTTCTTATATTAGGCCTCATCGATCCAATCTTTTGGATCATCTATCCTTTTTCATTCTTCTGCTATTTCTTAAAGTTTGGTTTTTCATTTTCTAAATTGGTTTTTAAAATAAGCTGCCAAACTATTTAGAACTAAATATAGTTCTAATATTAGGTTGACTTCTTTTTTGTCTTGTATTATAAAACTGTTTAGAACAAACTTTTTGTATAGTTTATTTAGCAAGCTTGCAATAATTCAATCTTAATCTGTTTTAATTATTTTGTATCTTCTGTTTATATTTTCTTCTATCTGTTTTCTTTGTATTTATTCCTATTTCTTTTTTTTTCTCTTTAATTATTCTTTGCCAATCTTAATGTCATCTATCCAAGCTTCTGACTACTGCCTGTATAGTTTTGGCAATATTGTTCCTAACTTTTTTTCTATAATTTAAAGTTTGTTATTTGTTATAGCTTTTTCATTATTTTCTACTTTTTGGTTCTTCTTATTTTTTGCTTTTTTGATTAATTGTTAAAGTTCAATAATGTGTTTGTGTTTTTTCATCTTTTTTTGATCTTGTTTTCTATTTAACTTAGTGTTAAATATTTTTTTCTTTGGGATTTGCTTATTTGCTGCTTTAATTATGGCTTCTTCTATTGTATTCTACATTTGATCTAATATCTCTATACTATATTCTATTTTTATATTGTCATCTTTTAGTTGTTTTAATACTCTTTTTCATTTCAGCTAATTTTGTAGCTCTCTTATATAATCTTTTCAGTCTTCTTGTTTTGCTTCTTTATATAGATATATTGTTCTTGTTTAATCTTTATGTTTAACTTTTGCTTTGCTACTGTTTGCAATTATGTATTTTATTTATATTTTTGTTATTATTGTTTTATAATTACTGTTTGTCAAACCTTCTGCTTTCTTAATATTAGCTTTTTGCAGACCTGACACAAGTGTTTTTGATAGCCAAATATAATCTATTTTTGTTACAGCCTTTTGACTTGACCATGTATATGCTTCTTTTATTAGATACAGATTTCTATATATGTTTATAAAGTTTTACCTTCTGAGTCAGCTAAATATTGATAGTTTTTTGTAGTTTGATGTTTGCAGATGTTGTCTGTCTAGTACATTATCTGCTATATAATTAAAATCACCAAGTATGATTACTTCTGTATATCAGTTAAGGGATATGTCTCCTGTGATGATCTTTAATAGTAAATGATTTTTGTGTAATATATAACACTATAACCATCGCAAGAAGCATTTCAAATAAAACATAAGAAACAATACTTTGGCCCTTAATAATAAAGAAATTTTACATTTTATTCTTTTATTTTATATTAGAAACATATATCTTGTATAACTATATATTGGTTAAATCTTAACTTGAAATATAATAATTTTTTAGATAAAAGCTAAGATCTTCCTTCAAATATGCTGAGCTTAAAGTAATTTTGCATTGTATAAGGTTACAAACAAAGAGTACTTCAGAAAAGATTATTGGCACAAATATGCTTTAGTTAAGGTTTTTTAATATTTACTTATAAGCATTTGTTTTTATATATATAAAATACTAATTTTTTTATAGATCACCAAACTTTAAACACTAGTTATGCAAAAAATTTAGTTATCCCAGGTAGTGTTGCCTGTTGCAAAGCTGCAACTTAATATTTACAGCTTATTTATGTTGTAATTATTACAAGATAACAGATAAGTCATATATATTAGATCACTGATATTACATTCTATTGCGACAATAGTTTGCAACCCTAGTGGCACTATAAAAAAATTATATTTCATATTTGCAGCAAGCAATACTAATCCCAGGTTTTAACAATCAAATAACAAGTTATAGATATTTAAATTTTATTAGAATCAGGTAAAGAATTTGTTATTATTCGAATTGATAACAATTATAAACTTTTGGTATGCAAAATCTAACATTATCTATTTTTGAATCTTTTTATGTCAGTTATTTCTCCAATACAGCTTAATTCTTTCAGATGTTCAGTTCAAAGAGATAGGTTGAAGTTCCCAAAAAACTTTTGTAACTGCAGCCTTAGGCAAATTTTCTTCATGATCAAGTAACTGAGCAAGTATACCCTTTTCTGCCTCTGTAGTAGTACGATGTGTTTGTTTTGGAAGACTGATTTTAGATGGTAAAGCTGATGTGCCTTGCTGAACAATTAATTCTTGACTCACATTACTCGGTTGGTTACTTTTTTTATTTTTTTATTTTTTTTTCACTTTCAAGTTGAGTATAAGTATAGGTACTTATATTTTATGCATGATGTTTAGAAGCTACTTGGGGTTCAGTTTTGTACACATCTTGAACAAGTACTTTTTGAAATTATGATTTACCAATTTTATAAAAAGAAAAAATATTATTGATACCATTCTCACTTATTTCTGGTGTGTCTTCAAATAAATAATATATAGCCAGATTTAAATGATTAAAGGCAGATAATAGTTTTGTAACTAAGGACCAGAGTGATTCTTTGCATGATTTGATTGCATGATTACTTTAACTAGTAACAATATTATCTGTATATTCTGCAAGAAGCATTGATAATCGATTTTTTTTACTTTGGGCTGCCTTAATTTTTGAAATTATAGTCTGTTGGTCGATAAGGTTTCCGGTAAGGTTTTGTTTGATAAACTTTATACCGTAAGTTTCAAGCACCTTATCAAAAGCTAAATAATGGTCTTCTCTAGTAAGGTTTACTAAACACACAGTTTGTAATATTTTGTAGCTGTGGATCATCATAAATTTGTGCCAAAAAGTGCACTGTAGCAGTCACATACTTGAACTTTCCAGCTGCAGAAAAAAAAGATGCAAATGCAGCCAAATTTGTTATTTGCATTTTATAATTTTCCTTCCTAATTCCAATTTTATGTCCTATAAAGTATCCTGTCTAACAAAAAAAAAGATATCACATCTTTACTAATTGATTATTACTCTTTAAAATATCGCTCATAGTTTCTTTTTTGCCTTTTACATATTGACATAGTGTAATTCTGACCACAGCCCAGATCAACTCCAAAACGTGACATGTTACCTGATAATCTACAACATGTTCAAACTTATCTAGATATTGTGTACCAAGTGTTGCTGCAAGGTTAAATATTCCATATCCTAAAAAAATTTTAATTAAAGTACTACACATGTCTTTAGATGTATGCCACTATCCTAAAAGAAGTCGAACATCACTGTGTTTTTCTTTATAAGAAATTAATCTATCAAAAATTGCTTGATCACAAGCAATATATAAACGGTCATTATTACCAAGAGATAAATTATCATGATACATTTCACATGTTTTATAAACATTGTCATTGTTATTAGATGCATCATCAGGTTTCAATATTATGCCATTTGGAAGTGAAGTATTAAAACCTACAGGTACATGTTTGGTAATTTCTGAACACAGATCTTCTATGTCAAATTTATTTATATGAGTTTCTAACAATATATTCAAAATATCCTCATATATAACTAAAAGATCATTAGTAGTTGAAGATTCACCAAATAGTAGTTGATTAATGAGATCATAGCCTCCAACCAGATTATCAAGAGAAATGGAAAAAGGAAACTGGAATACCATTCGTAGCATCATGTGTGATGTTTGCTATGTGATATCAAAAATATTACTATATGAGAAAATAGAAGCTTTGAAATCAATATTGTCAATTACTGCCAGGTTCCAAATATTCAGCCCTTCAATCAAATTTTCTTTAGGGTCTATTTGGCAAATTATATATTCTTCGAGATGATTTTCATGCCATTTAGTATAAGATATAACACATGCTGAACAAAGAATCTCTCTTAAGTATGGCAGCAGTTTTGGTTTTTGACAAATTGATGATATTATGTGTGTAAGCCATATTTTCATACCAGGAAAAGCAATAGTAAGTAGAATTGAGGTTAATAAAGTAGTAATCTTTAATATTTGATTTGTGTTAAATAATTTGGAAGAGAGTCCTCATTGTTGTCTTTTTTTATTAATAATTTTTTGTTTTTTCTAGTGCAGCACTGTAACAAGAGCTTGAAAGAAGCTGAAAATATTATCAGGCAATGAATCGATATAATTTTCATATGAAGTTGGATTTTCTAATTGGCTAATATTTTTTTTAATTTTAGATTGTAATGATAAAACTTTTTTTCCTAATTTTTTACCTATTTTTGAAGCCTTCTCTGGAGTTATATGCAACTTTTCTTTATTTATTTTACCCTTTTCTAATTTAATCACTGTTTTAATACTTAATTTGCTTAGAAGTTTTGTTGTTTTGATTTCTAATAGGCTTTAATTAGATTTATCATTAAAAACAGTTAATGCTAGAGCTATTATTAAGAGGAGTCTTTCTTGTAGCATTTGGTCTTCTACTCTGCTACTGATTCTAACTATTTTCCTATATATTTTAGTGCATTACTTGTGTTGTCATGATGTTTTTCTTGTTCGATACATGTTGAAGCTTTATTGCCTTTATGTGGTCATTCATAAAGGTGTCCACTCTTTTAATAAAAGCACTGTGAGCAGATATAACATACATGAAGGCTTAAAGATAAATTTTATGTGATGAGCTCTTTAGTAAATATAGGGCATTTAAAAATACCAGTACAAGGTACTTGAATATTATGTTCATTAATTTTTTATAAATGTTTTGGACAGCAATCATCATGACTAAAAAATTATTTTTTTTTATTACAAAAAAGACAGATATGAAGATGCACTTTACTCTGCTCAATTGAGCATAGTTGTTTTTCATCTGCCTCATAAAGCATGTTCTGATCATAAATAAAATAGAGATAATATACACCAAGTTTGTAAAAATGCCTTTCAGCATCTTTAACTGCTTCTGTGTCTATTTTTTATGTTCCTATTAACTGCTTCAATCGACGAAGCTTTGTCATACTACCACAACATTTTATTTCATCTTAGATAATATCTACAATCACACATAGTGTTAGGTTCAAACCTTGTGCTAGGGTTTTTTCAATTTTCACATCTATTTTATTATGCATTGCTGGAAAAGGTTCATCCAATTCAGGATCTTCTGCTTCAATTTTGTCCCAGTTTATATAATCATCTTTACTGTCATTTAATAGTGCTTAAGCATTTGCAAAGGCAATGTTAACAAACTCAAGACCTTCATTACTTTCTTTGGAAGAATCATATTCAAAATCTAAATAAGCTTGAGAAACATTGTATTCCTTAATATCTAAGTAAGTAAATTCAGAACTACTCATTTTTGTCTGAATAGTATAATTGCCATAAGATTATGTAATAACAAAGTAAAAATGAAGTGGATAATTATTCAATAGTTATCAAAAAGTGAAGTATTTTATTATTTAATCTTGTTTTTTTTAGATATAAACGTATTAATTATTTTTTTTTAATTTCTTAGCTACCCGATTCTCAAGTTCCCTTTTATAACATTTTTCAAAAATATATCAGTATTATGATTCATTCATGACTTCATCATATTATTCTTTCTATTATTATGAAACTAGTATACAAAAGCCTTTCATTTGTAACTACCAAATAATCATTTTACAATTCATGACAATATACAGCAAGCTAAGTATAATACCATATATTATTAAAAATAAGCACCCCTTCAGAGGAATTTTTATAGCCAAATTTCTCATAATCTAGTAATCAAATTTGCGTAATTTGGGTATCATTCGAATCATTTTGATAAGTTGATTCGAATGATACCAAAATTATGCAGATTCGATTACTAAATCACGAGAAATTTGGCTATAAAAATTCCTCTGAGGGGGTGCTTATTTTCAGTAATATACAGTATATCAATTCTAGTGATTTCATTATTGCATTATTCTTTCGATTATTATGAACTAGTGTACTAATACTTTTCAATTGTAACTACCATATAATCATTGGTTCTGCAATTCATGACAATACACAAGCTAAGTATAACATATTATCAATTCTATGATGTTTTATTATTTATATCTAATACAATACTTACAATATTTTAGTTTTGAATTTTAGATAAAAATTCAGAATTCGATTGTCTAAGAACTTTTTTTTCTTTAGTTTTCTGAAATTAGTTTTGAATAGGTTTCATATAAGTGCCATCAAGGGAAACTGTCATTGGGCCTTCAACTATATTTCATTTTGGGCACCAAGATTTATCTATAAACAATCTGATCAGTATGTATTATACGTAAAGTATAATACATCACTAATCAGATTTTTATAAATGATCCTGATTGACAGGCTTTCTCTTAATGGTACTCATATAGTTAATATGTATGCTCTGAATATATATGCCAATTCAATTATTTCAAACATGTCAAACCATCTAAATGCGATGTGATGAAACATATGTAAAAAAAATTATCATTTAGAAAAGTATTTATTAAGATGAAGTATAAACTGTATATGCATTTAGAAAGTATTTTATAAGCATGTATTCATGAAGGTTGCACTTAAAAATTGTTTATGTAAACTTTTTACGATTGTATATTCAAAAGACTGTATATTTTATGAAGTACTATAATAAAGATAAGAATTTGATTTTTTTTTTTTTTTATTATTAGTTATTATAATTTTTGATACCAATGAAAGAATTTTAAAAAAACAATAATTCAAAATATCGAATCTACATATTTTTTTTACAAAAAGGCTGTGTTTGATTCAAAAAAACTTGGGTGTTTTGAGAACTATCAAATTTTTTTTGAAACCATTGGTTTCACCCTGAAATGAGTCCAGTTTTATCTTAATAATCAAATACCTAAACAAATGCTTCAGAACCTTCAGAACTAAGCTAAAATAAGAGGTGCGAAATGATTTCAACAATAACCAGAAAGAACTTCTATAGAATTTTACTTTAAAGCTCTAATACAGTCGACTCTGAACCTTTTTATAAAAAACTCAAAAATTTGAAAATTCATAATAGTTCAGTATAAAAGTGCTATAGATTCTTAAGAAAACAAAGTAATTTTCTATAACAATCTTTTTTTCTTTAGAATCTTTGGTTCATTATAGAGAGAGTTGACTGTATAGAGAATGATTAACTTATAGCTAAAATCTATAAAGACTTGAATTGCAAGGGCTATAAGTATATATAAACTGTGAAACTAGTAAAAGTTGCTTTAATTCAAAAGAAATATTACAGAGGTTAGTACTGTCAAACTTCAAATGAAGATCTTTTTCGAACTAGAAAAAAATGAAGGTTAATGTTTTCACAGTTAAGTAAATAAATGTCTCAAATAAATTTTTTGCTTAAATATGAACACATGAATTGTTTTACAAATTTGGGGTTGTCATATGAAAAACCTTTTGTAATAATGAATTTTTTATATAAAACAAAAATGATCAACACTAAAATTATCATATGATTTACATTTTGAACCTCTGTAAAGGGACATGTCTTATGACTGATATCTTTTTTTGCTTATTATTACTTATACAATTATTTGCTAAATTTTTTTACTTATTGATTTGTCATTTGGTAAAATATATACTCTTAACACAACTAATTCTAATTGTTTAAAGTATAATCTTACTTCTAGCATGTATTTACTAACTTTTTTAATTTCCTCTACATGTTTTTTCTATTTTTCATCTATTAATATTTCTATATCTGGACCTTTTTTCTTGTTTGTTACTGCATTAGTTCAATAACTCTTATATCATGTATTATAACTATGTAACAAAATTTTTTTTTCTTTTTTGGTAATATTTGTTTCTATTATTTTCACTATTGTGAATTCTTCTTTTTTTGCCTATTTTAAAAGGTTTTTCAATTTTCATCCTCTGGTTTTCAGTCCATTAATGTTGTAACATGCTATTTTTAATTATTTTTTTCTCTGTTTCCATTTTTCTTTTAAATGTTTATGTTTTGTTTTTATGTTTTCTGCTTTTTTTTCTTTTCTTTTTGATTTTCTATTATAACAAGAAGATGTATCTATATTTCTTCTTTAAAAATTCTTCTTTCACTATGCAAGAACTCTCTAATCTTCTAGTCTATGTTTATTAATTTAACTGTAATACTATTAGGAGTGATTAGTGATGTCTTCTTTTGTCTTCTATTTTATCTTGTTTTGTTGTCCTTCAAGTCTCTCTAGTCTCTCAAGAATTTTTTTCAGAAGGTTTTGGTTTTATATTTGTGGATCTTCATTTTTGATATTAATATTGTTATCACCTAACTATTTTACTATATCTTGTATTTGAGAATCATTTTCTATTTCTATGTGTCTCTTATTTGAGTTTTAACTGTTTTTGTTTTAGCTTTTTTCTTTTTTTACATCAGTATTTCTATCCTCTAAGTCTTCTTTCTCTGCTTCTGCAAATTTTCTGCTTGAATTTTAAATCATTCAGTTTCAGTTTCTTCTTTTTCTTTCCTGAGAATCTTCTTTACTTTTTACTTTTTTTTTTTTTTATTTGATCAGAATATACAAAAGTTGTTATACATAATTGGTCTTGATTGAGCTGTTTTTTTTTCTTTTTAGTTGCAAATAAAATTATTGTGATTCTTCTTTGATTTTGATTTCTATTTGAATATATACTGATTTTGCATCTTTATTTCTCAAACACTATAATAACAGAACTTCTGAAATATTACTTGGCAGCTCTGTTAATTTTACTATATACTGTTTTTGTTTTTGTTTTGCTTTATGATTTTTTTTCCCTTCTGTTAGTCTTACCAGTTTATAGTTGTTAACTAATATAAACCAAAAAGTGCTTCTTTTTTCTAATTCTTCTACTTGGATTATTGTGAGAGCCTTGTGTTTGGACCTTTTAATTCTTGTTATTTGTACTTTTTTGAATCTTTTGCAGATGTATTCAAGTTTCTTCTTATTTATATCTACTGGTAGGTCTCAAATTGTTATATGTTTTATATATTTTGCTTCTTCTTTCTCAGTATTATATATTCTTCTTTTTCTATAATTTTCTCTTTTCCATAACTCTTTTTCTTATATTCTGTTATGCTATCTTTTTTATTTTAGTATTCATTACTGTACTTCTTTTGTTCTGTTCTTCTTCTTTCTTTGTCCTTTTCTGGTATTATTTTGTACCAATTGCTTTCTTTTTTATTTATTCTTTGTATTGCTTTATTTCTATTATACTCACAGTCAAAGTTTACTTCAACTCACAGATTTCCTTATTTAAAGGTTTTTTTAATATTTTTAATATGTTTGTTGTCTTTTAGTAACTACTTGATAAACTTTACATGTTCTTCTTCTATCTCTTTAGGCACATTGTATGCTGATATATTAGCAAGTTACTGTTGCTTTTATTGCAATTTCTTTTGCTTGGTACCTATATGCTTTTTTCTAATGGGATTTCTACTATGTTTATTTTTCTTTCTAATACCTGCTTTCTTCTTTTCTGTCTTTTTTTTTCTTCTGATATTGAACCTTATCTTAATTCTTTATCATCTATTTTTATATCCTCTTGTTCTATTTCTCTTATTTTCTTGATTCTTTTTCCTGTACAGATAACTCTTCTTCTAATTGGTTTATACTTTTATTACTTATTTTTATTTTTACTTTTTTCTTTATCATAAAGTCTTTTTCTTGTAGTTTTTTCTTGCTTGTAATATCTTCTTCTATTTTTCTTTTGATGTCTCTTTTTGTTTTATGTTTGTCTTCTTGATTTCTTCTTTTTTGGCTATTTCTTGTTATACTACTTCTTTATTTTGTTGTTCTTGCATTCTTTCAAGTTCAATCATCATTATATTCTTGTCTGCTTCTGTAAAGTTAAGCTTCTTCTCTGTTTATTTTCTTTTTGCTCTTTTAATTAGTTCTCTAGTTTTTCTTAATAGTGCAACTTCTACTGAGCTTTGCTCTATGAGCATAACTACAATTTTATCTTCTCTGTCTGGTGTTACATATGTGCTATTTGACTGATTAAAGAATATTTTATTATATATTTTGTTCATTACCCAATATGCTCTTTTCATAAAAATTATTAATAGACTTTCTCTATGCTTTATTGATTCCTTGTTTTATTTATATCTATACACTTCTTATTAGTTTTTAGATTTTCTTTGTTACTTTGCTTATTTATATATAATTTTTTATATATATTGATATATGATTTGTAACATCTATGCTAATTTGGTAGCTTGCACATGTCTGTTGTTGTTTTACTATTATATGTCTTTTATGTAATATAAATAGATCTACAGTACAGGTTTTAATAACAATTTCCTACTACTGTTATTTTTCAATAAGTTTTTTTTTTTTTTGTCTTTTTTTTAGTAACTATCTAA